TGAAAAGGAGCAAGCAGCAGCACACTTAAGTGCTGATGGGTTTCAGGGCACTGCACTGAGTACAGTAAGCCAGGCACAAAAAACACACACCAGATTTATATGGAACCCTGGAAACGGCAAAGCTGTAGGGACAGAGAGCAGGTCAGCAGCTGCTAGAGGCCAGGAGTGGGAGCAGGGCTGACTGCAGAGGGGCACGAGGAACTTTCTGTGTTGTGACATAACTGGTGGTTACATGACTTTCTACATTCATCAACTTACTGAATTATATCTTTAAAATTGTGAATTTTATTCCTTGTAAATTATATATTGATAAGGCCTATTAAAATATGTATACAACTTATGCATGTATACCTTTTCCCTCAAAATAAGCTAGTCAGGCTGGGATTATGTGAGGAGTTGTCAGGTTTGTCAGGAGGTAGAGTTGACTTTAGGTGAAAAATAAGTAATTCTAATTTATCATGGTAAATTTGAGGTTACATGATCCAGTAAAGGTAAACTGAATATCAACTTGTAACCTATTCTTTGTATCAGAATTCTTGTTTAGACATGGCTATTTGAAGCTCTGTTTTGTAAGTGCTAATTGACAGGTTCCAATCTTCCATTTTTAGTTAAAGCCATTTGTAAGTACACAGGATAATTCCATGTGTAAGCAACAGATGTATGTTCCTTACATTATTACATGAGCATAACCTGGCCTTAGAGGTGCTCTTTGTTTTAAGAAAACCCAGTGTACTGCAATCCAAACCAGTATGTTAATGAATGATGCTCATATTACAAAAGCATGTTTTTACTTTACAGATTCACTGCAGAGTTCCTTTAAAGTAGGACACAGTGCTAGTGCATTTAATTGTTATTTCAGGTCAGTAAGTCTTAAAGTCTGGACTTCAGTGTTAGTAATCTCTGAATTAAAATTCAAGCAGTAAATGAACACCAATGCAAAAAAGGTGAATGGGAAATTATTTAATTTATTAAAAACTAATTCTTAAGTTTTTGTGTCTGTATGTAAAGTATCAAGTGTTGTAGAGAGATAAGCTCTATCAGGGGGATTTGGTGAAAGAAAAAAGATGATGGGTGTGTTTTATCCTATGAGTGTATTGGGGTGTCAGATGAGCTGCAGGGTGTTTTAGGGGAGCTGGACTCTTGGACTGTTTGTGAGACTGAGTGAGTGAATCAGAGAAACAGGATTAGAAAACTTCTGAGTGGCGTGAGGTTGGGAAGCTCTGGTTGATTGGGCAGGTAACTACGAGGTAGAGGAAAGTCTGGAAAGTCTAACAAGTTTGCTGTTGGTGCCTCAGGCCTGAAGAGCTGGGTGTGGAGGGCATGTTCAACTTTCACTTTAATCAGGCACAGTGACACCTGTGGAGAGTGCTGTACCACGTGAGATGCTTGCCATGCCCCAAATCCTGTCTCTGGGTGGCTGTGATGTGATTGTGTGTGCACATGGAACTTCAAAACAGTGGACATGGCAGATTAGGGAAGCTACTCCTCTTCCTTCTAAGATTAGCTCAACGGATGCCAGGATCTGCAAAGTGCTTTTACACATCCACCATTCAGGTGCACCCGTAAGCAGTTGCTCGGCCTTTTGGATTCTCTCTTACAGACCATGTGGTTCTGTGGGGTGATTCCCTGGAAGAGTTTCCTCCCTCTGACTAGGTGCATGGACCATCAGGCCCAGAAAATGTATTTTTAAACATTGCTATAACTTGTGAAATTTATTTGATTGCACAAGCATTTTGCTGAAATTAGTGGTAATGAAATAAGAGGAAACAAGTACAACAGTCATTAAATTTTAATCCAGCAAGAAATGGTTTGGAAACTCTAAACAGTCTAATCGATGGTATAAAGTATTGAGGGGCAGAGGGGAAGCTGCTTGAGGAACCTCTGCTCCCCAGCAGAACTGTAAATGATTGAAGACTGAGAGTTAGAAGAGGACTGCCCCTGAGTGATTGTCAGGTCTCTTCATTGGCTTTGCTTGCAGATAGCAGACAGCTTGGAAACCCGACAGCTGGCATGGCATGGCAAATTTTGAATGTCAGATGATAACAAACAGAGAGGTGATAAATTGCATAAAACATTTTCATTGTAGTCCTGAACATTCATTGTTTTTTTTATATTTTTTACTTTTTAGGTTTAGAATTACGGACTCAGCAAAGTAAACCTCAAGATGCCTCTTGCCTGCCAGCATTGTGTGTCTCGGATATCGAGCCCACCATGCCTTTCACTGAGCTGGACATGGACTTGGCAGGTCACTGTAAACACTATCTTTTTCAGGGTGCCTGGGTTCCTCCATTAAATTCAATATCGGTCTCCACAGGAGAAATAGAGTCATACTTTGGTTGTTTTCTGTAAAACATTTGAGCATCCCTATTCATTTAGAGCTTGCTTTTCAGGTATCTCATACATTGTTTTTAACATTCAGTGACGATAGACTTCCTTACTAAGTAAGAGCATGTGCTTGCTTTCCTGAGTGGGTTTGATACAGCTCTGTAATTTGCTGCGTCTAGATTCAGATGAGGATTTATTTAGGTTATACTGTGGCTGTATTAGATGCAGTTTTTAAAGCATATGGGCATCCTCTAAGTCCTTTGCCCAAGCAAACTCTTCAGTGCAGCTGTCAGTATAGGAGAGAGGATGTGGGGGAATGGGGAGGTGCTCTCAAAGTGGAGGTGTGACAAGTCACAGAGGACGGAAGGGAGCCTTAGGCTGCTGCTGTCCCATCCTAGTGTTTGTCCTGTGGCCTGTCACTGTTCCTGTGTTCTCAGAGGGGCTTAATTTCACCTTGGCTTCTGGTTGGTAGCAAGACACACGTCTGTGGAGTGCCGTTACTCTGGAAGGTGTTGACACTGAGCACACAAGTGGGCAGGATGGGATTTTACTTATCTGACCTCAGCATTGTGCTTTAACTTGCACCACTGAGGACAGGATCTCACACTGAATCTGAGAGTCACTGTCCTCCGTGGAACATCTCTAATCTGCCTTTTGATTTTTAACACTGCCTGTCATGTTTACAACATCTCATTTATTTGGTGCACGTGTGTGCATGTGTGAATGAATTTTTTTCTTCTGGACTGGGCTTCTAGAAGCTGGGGTTAACATCCCACTGATCTTTTAAGCCCCCATAGTTTTTATTTATCAGTGAATCTCATTAAGTGTTCATTCAAAGAATTAGTGAAGATAAATCAGTCATCAGAAAATGCTTTAGTTCCTACTCTGATGCTAGGGAAATACAAAACACAATACACAGTCTGCGCCCTTGAGAGACTTGGAGGTACCCTTGGGGTATGTGGGTACTGAGCAATACAGGGGATCATGTGGGGGCTGTGGGGAGGACCTGTTGGGGCAGATGAGTGGCATTTAGGATGGGTGAGACAGTGGGATCGGATGTTTCAGGAATGCCCTAGTCAGAGTCCCCTCTGATTAAAGGCAGGTGAGGACAGGTACAGGTGGGGAGGGGAAAGCTGGCATAGTTATGAGACCAGAAGAATGTGACTGTTCTTCCATTCTAATTCTTAGTATTGAAGACTGTTTCAGTTTTTTGTTATAATGGAACTACAATAGGGACATTTATATAAACAATGCAAATGAATAGCATTTTTTTTTTGCTAATATAAGTTTTAAACCTCTATTCTTGAATAGCAATAGCATTATTTCTTAAATGTTAAAAATGATTAAAATTTTACTGGTAATAATGTGTTTTTCTAGCTGGGGACACCCCTGTTCAGTACTGTGCACAGCCCACCAATGGCATGGTGTATTTCCGAGCCTTTTCCAGCCTGAACACACTTCCTGAGGAGCTGAAGCCCTACGTGCCACTCTTCTGCAGCGTCCTTACTAAGTAAGAGCCTCATATTCAGAACAGAGACACACAAACGTGTATATAATTCAGCACAACTTTATATGTCATATTAATACATATTTTCTGTGTGTAGATCTACAGTTTTAATGTATTGATAGTAATCACCTTTCAGTGGATCATTTTATTTTTTAAAACTATTACTGTTGTACAGTGAATAAGTAAACATACAGTATATTCGTTTAGAATTTGTATTCAAATGAAAATTATGTCTTCTTACATTACATTAAATATTTATGAATCTGGACTGTAGGATAATAGTTATAGACACATCCATCTCCCCGGCGTTACTCTGTTAAGATTTTGACACAAAATGCTTGCGTTTAATCTACAGCATGAGTGATTGGAAGTGGTGGGGCCTGGGCTGGCTGTGAGGCCAGGCCGACACCCTCCCCTGTGGTTTGCTTCTCCACTGAGCTCACTCTGTTGCTGCTCCTAGTCTCCTTAGATGGGCGTCTTTGAATAGGTGTGCACACACAGCTGCGTGTCCCTTTTTCTCTGCTCTATGTCCTGGCCCAGGTGATAGGACCCGCAGTACACGAGGCTGCGGGCGTCCCTCCCTGTTCAGTAGAGCAGAGGGACACGGAACCACTGCAGCAGAGTGGTCTGTGGAGAGTGAGAAGTTTGCGTGCTTCAGAAAGCTGCATGGCTGTTGGTCAGGGCAGGGGAACACGTTTTCGAGTTTTGTTTTGTTTTTAGTACAGCTCCCACAGCTTGTCCTTTCACAGCAGTTGCAGAAGACACATCACAGTTGTCCACTGGGTTTAAATGCTCTCTTGCGTTAGGAGATTGGGGAGAATGTTACTTCCAAAACATCGTTGCTTAGAGGACTTCTGCTATTCTTAAAAACTCATGCCGGCCTATTCTTCAGGTCCCCCACAGACCACCAGATATTTGAACCAATGAGGTATGCGTCAGAATGTTTTGGAAGAAGGGAGTAAGGAACACTCAGAACATTTAAAAGCTTAGGCCGAGAAAAGCGTATTTTAGAATTTTGTTTTTAGTGCCAGGTGCTGGCTGCCTGAGTGTCCAGTGGCCTGGGTGCTGTAAGTAGATTCCCTGAATAAAAGAAGCTGGTTTCCACCCTCGGGAGAGGAGGGCACATGGACAGTGTAGAGCATTAGTATCAAATGCTTTCATTCTTCATCACCTTTGATGTGTAAAAAGAGGCCTGGCAGGCTTTGGGGTTGAATTAATTTAATCAACTTGTGAGTGAAGAGGCACGTGCCTGGGGACTCAGGAAATGCTGCTTGTCTGTGGCAGGCTGGGCTGCGGCACTCTCGACTATCGGGAACAAGCTCAGCAAATAGAGCTGAGAACGGGAGGGATGACTGTGTCTCCCCAGGTGCTCCCTGACGACGCACATCTGGACACATACGAACAGGTAGTTTTTGATTCTCTATCACAGTCACGGTTGAAAGTTTGTTTCTCCAGTGTCTTGTCTTTTATGTTAAATTAGTTAATTCCTTATTTGTTCTGCTTTCATTATTCAGGGCGTGCTTTTTTCCTCTCTCTGCCTGGATCGAAACCTACCAGATATGATGCATCTGTGGAGTGAAATATTTAACAAGTACTTTATCTGCAAAAGATGTTCATTCTCGGGATGTGCAGAGATCTGAGTCTGAAGTGTTCTAAAAGTAGATTTTCCTCATTTGTGGGTGTTAATTCTGTAGCCTGATTTTACTTGTAATTCCTGTGGGCTTGTAAAATGTCTGCGGATGCTGAAATAGCCTGAAAACTTTGATATTGAAGGGGGCATGGATGGTTCTCCAGGAATTTATTACATTTTTCCTCTTACCTAGCCCATGCTTTGAAGAAGAAGAACACTTCAAAGTGTTAGTTAGGATAACTGCTCAGGAGCTCGCAAATGGAATTCCAGACTCCGGGCATCTCTACGCATCCATCCGAGCCAGCAGGACCCTCACGCCCGCAGGGGACTTGCAGGAAACCTTTGGTGGGATGGATCAGGTGGGTCATGGGGAAGGGAGCCTGCTTGTTCTGGTTTAGCCATCTTCCAGAGTTGCTAACTTTCTAATTGACCAAATTTCATGGGAAAAAACTTTCTTTTAACTCCCCTTCTTTGTATCCCTCCCACCCCCAGCCTCACCCCTCCCCAAGCAGGGCAGTTACACACATGGCCCTGCTCCAGCGGGATGCTGCTATCAGGATGTTGGTTTCAGACTGAGGAGGTCATCTTTGGTCTCTGTCTCTCTCTCTCTGTTTGATTCCTTGGCTCAGGTGAGGTTGATGAAGAGAATTGCAGAAATGGCAGACATCACTCCAGTCCTGAGAAAGCTCCCCCGCATCCAAAAACACCTACTGAACTGTGATAATATGAGGTGGGTGCGTGGTTTGCTTCTAATGAAGATCTTATGATTTATTCTATTTCAATAAGTGTAGCTTTTAGATACTTTTCACTTGAAGTCACATAAATTTAAGACAGTAAAAAATGCTTGGTATATGTATATATAGGTTATAGAATTGATCCTAGATTTCATTAGAATTCTTCATATAGAATTGATCCTATGTTCTAATAAACTGAGAAATCATTTTCTATGGAGGATAAAAAAGTAATATTTTAAGTTTAATAAAAACTGTGGGAGGTGGGAAGAAAGCCAGCTAATTTAATCGTAGTAAAAACACAAAGTAGATTTAGGGCAACTGTGTAAGGATACACTGCCTTCAGATGCAAAGTGTTCCATGAACGAGGAATCAGGGAGACCCAGGTTAGCTTCCTCAAGACCAGAGGAAAAGAGCAGCTCCTTATAAAAATAAAAAGATGTTCTGGTTTGAGAAGAACATCTAGCAGCTCAGGCATACACACACCGTCAGCCTTATGCTCTCAGGTTTGTGAACATGAATGGAATTTAAAAATTATTAAGTTTATTTTCAGCATCTTACTGTCAATGACACTGATTTAGCATTCACTGATACTGAACTAGAAAACGACTGCCTAAGTCACTTGTTGTTCCACATGCAGAGTCCTGGTGACTTTCCCCAGTCAGTTCTTGGGAATCACCAGCAGATTCTGCAGGACAGTCTGCGGTGGAAGGAGGCGGGGCCTGACAGGTAGTGCCAGGACGTTGGTGTTGGGCAAGCCTGGCTTCAGTCCTGGCCCCACACTCCCGCTCATAACCAGGCAGTCCTGGGCACCTGAACCATGTATCTTCTGCTTCCTTCTCCATAAAATCCTACTGCACTGGCTTATTGTTAGGAATTAAAAGAAATAATATATACAAAGCAGTGACTATAGTTAGTATTAATTTAATGGTACCTGCTGTTAATTTAACTAAAATAAATTTGGGATTTAGGGCCAAAAGGGGGAAAAATACAGTGTCAGTATATTGTAGAGTTCAATAAAATGTTATATGGTAGTATTATTTGTGATTCTGTAGAAATTGGAAGAATTATATAAAAATATTTTTTGAGAGAATGGTAATTTTTTTGGCACTTCATGAAATAATTTTCTATTTTATCAACAAGTTCACATTTTTAAATTGTTGATTTCTCTTCTGGGTGGTAATTTTAAAAGTTTTCAGTCTTCTAATACTGTAAGTCTGAAAGCGTTGTTGGCAGGTCTTAATATTCTCTTTTTCCTCTTTGTCCTTCATAGAAACACAGAATTTAGAGTCAGAAACACTGTCTTTGCATCTTGACAGTTAATTTATTAGCTGTAACAGTGAAATATGTGAAAGTCTTTTAATCACTTGAAAGCACTGTAGAGAAGTCAGATGGCTGTATTATTTCCACATTTGGCTACTGTTTCTTTTTAATATTTAAGTATTATTTTATACAAAAACAATGTATTATTCACTTTTTATTATATAAAATGTGACAAATTAGTAAAATGGAGTTTTACTTTTTATAATCATGGCTTTGTATGTACATAATTTTTTATACCACCATGCTGTAACCAACTGAGCAACCAGCCAGCCTCATAATTTTTTAAACAGGTGTGCAGTGAATGCTACTGTTCAGCAGATGTCTGAGGCAGAAAAAGTGGTGGAGAACTTCATTAGAAACCTTGGTCGAAGTAAGAAGGAGCGGAAACCTGTGCGCCCCCACGTGGTCGAGGTAACACACTAATCGCAGCTGGCAAGTACCAGGTGCAGTTCTTTTATACATAGATTAACTCGTTTAATTCTTGAAGCCATCCAATGTGTGGGTATTAATAACCCCCACTGTCAAGAGGAGGAAAATGAGGTATAGCAGGATTAAGTAGGTTGCCCAGCATTGACCCAGTTGAGAACTGAATTCAAACCCTGCAGTGTGGTCATAGATCCTGTGCTCACCTATTCTTGACATGCCTTGCAGTGAATAGTTGTCTAACAGGGAAAAGCAGGCTTTGGTTTGAGATGCAGTAGCATAAGAATAGCCCAAAGTAGTGATCTGGTGAAGCATATCACTGCTGTTTGTGCGGCTCTTGAAGATACAAGACGGTTGCATCCTTTTCGCTAAAACTCATTAATTCATGGATTTCCCCCAGAATATTTACATCAGTTATCAACAACCTAATCAACTTGGTTCTTTACAAGGTTGGTTTCAGTCTAATTCACAGCATCAGTGGCAAAGTCTCACTTGCCACTGGTGCAGGTTGCCAGTCTGTAGGTTTTGCAGAGGAGCGACCTCTAATGTCTGCTGTGCTGATGCTCACACTTCCTTACTCCATTTGGGGGTGATCTCCTGTTTTCCTGTTTTTAGCTTCTGCCACTGGGAGTAGGGCCATGAGATGGTGGCCCCAGCTGCTCTGGGCCCCTCTAGCTAGAGCCATCCGTTTTACACGGCCTCTCATCTGGGCGCAGTTTTATGACTAGAAAGTGCGAAAGGAGGAAAGCAAGGTCATACTGTTTTCCTTTGTGATGTCCAGCAAGGACTTCTTTTTCTCAACTACCTGAAAATCTATGAAAAATTTTCACTTCTTTAAAACAGTTAAGAAATTAAAACATTTTGTCATTTAAAGCACTGAGAGAAATCTGTCTATGCTTGTTATTAGCATTGTGAATTTTATGAAATCTGTACCTTCTTATCTGTTTCAAATGAGTTTTAGATTTTTCTCATTTTTCTTGGAAACATTTTATTTTCAGAAGCCTGCATACAATGGCTCTGGTGGAAACGCACACGTTCGTGGCCCCCAGGTCATAAGAAAGCTGATCACAGTAAGTTCACAAAGTCCACTGCTTTAGCAGGAACCGAGCCGGTCCCTCCCAGCTGTGGTCTGATGCTCTGGTTCTGAGAATTCCTCTGTCCTAGCCACTCCTGGGGCTGGGCCTGTCCCTAGAATTGCGATTTAGCTGTAGCTTTTTGTCACTGCCATCCTGAGCCTTTGCTCTTTGAGACGATGCTGAGTGTGTGCCCTGTTCTTGGGTCTGTTTTCCTCGTGCTGAGGATGACATGTTCTCAACACCACATGGTCACCTTTGCTTTAGTGTAGCTTGTGATGCTGGATGGGCGTCAGCTGCCTTCAGTGAAGCAGCATGATCTGCCTCTCTGCTTGCTCAGCTGTGGTAATGATGGCATTCAGTTTGGTTTATCGTAGAGTATGGCAAAGTAATGTATGCCTGGAGAATTAGCTTTGACATAAACGATGTAGTATGAACTGTTATTAATTGAGTAATAATTTTTAAGGCATTACGTCAAGATTGGAGGATCTCATGTTAAAGTGAGAAATCATATGGAATGATGTCATTGTAATGTCTTGCTCTTGAACATGAGTACCTAGCTAGTGACTTGCAAGAAAGGACACCTTCAGACGGCATCTGAGAGTCTCAGCGCCGAAGGCTGAATCGTGTTAGTGCCACCTGGTCTGACCCACGTGCCTCTGTCCCCCAGGAGCCCACTTTCAAACCCTGCCAGATGAAGACACATTTCCTGCTGCCATTCCCGGTGAATTACGTTGGAGAATGTGTTAGGACTGTGCCCTACACGGATCCAGATCATGCCAGGTAAGAGGGGGAATGGAAAATGGCCTCTGAGGTCTGCACCTTAATAAGAGGTTGCTGAGCATGTTACAAAGTAATAAGGTGTGTTTTGTGTGACAGAGAGTTTTTGTGCCAACTTTGTTGGACCCTGCCACGTGATGCCGCCCTATCATCTACAGAGTGCACCGTCAGCAAGAGCTCATGTGTAGGGCACTCAAAACAGTATATGTCCCTCAGGCAACTCTGCAAACTAACAGATGCCTATGAACCTAACACGTGCTTTCAACATGCCCAATTTACTCAACTTGTCTGTAGGTAAAAATTGGGTAAATTAAGGCTTGAGACTTTGATAAACATGGCAGATTGAACCCACGTGTGACAGTTGAGCCCCCTCCAGTAACCCCACAAAAGAGAGCAAAGGCATAAAAAGGCATGAAGCCATAGGAAGGGAGAGTGGGGAGGAGATGGCAGGAGCCCAAGGGAGTTGCAGAAAAATTCGAGAGCAGGAGAGCACATGACCTAGACAGCCGCAGGAAGGACGCCTAGTTGACCCACAGAGCCCTGGGGATTGTGTCTCTGCAAGCAAGGTGGGGATGTGGCTGGAAGAGTGAAGGCTGTTTCAGCGTTCCTCTACAGACTCATTGTACTCTGGTCTCCCCAGCCAAGTCTGAGGCTTAACGAGGCCCTGGTTGAGCGGTAGGAGCCCCAGCTGAGTGGCGGGGGGGAGGTGTGCTGCCGAGAGCTCGGGAAGTGTGCAGGCTGCATAGTAAGCCCCCCAGGCCACTGCCTCTGAGTCATGGCCAGCTCTCTCCGGGGAAGCTGGCCATGCAAGAGAAAAGGCCCAAGGTGAGACCTTTGGGGATCCCCTAATTAATGCATCCACTGGGCTGTGCATGTAGGACACAGATAGTTGCAGACATGCAGTATACTACAATTCACTCCCAAGTCCGTTGTCTAAGGCAGCTGCCTGCTGAGGGATGACCATAGAGGAGAAGGACACGGCCCCAGAGAGGTGCCCCAGCCTGTGGAGGAGAGGAAGGTGGGAGCTTGGTGCGGCCCATCCACATGGGGACACGTGTCACACGTGGCCCAACAGAGAGGAGGGCTAGAGGGAGTTGGAGAGCCGAGGCAGGGGAAGCTAGTGGGGCAGGGAGCTCAGCAGACAGGAGGAGCAGCTGCTGCCCACGATGGAGAGGTTCTCTGAGAAAAAGAGATAGTGCGCGGCTCAGCTGTTCATCAGTTTATTTCTGTGTCTGTAGAAAATAGACACTTCTGTGTGCTGTGCCATCACGAATAGTGATGCACAGTTGGCCTCCCTCTCTGTGGGCTCCACATCTGTGAATTCAACCCGCCACAGATTGAACATATTCAGGGAAAAAAATGGATGGTTACGTCTGTACGAAACGTGTACAGACTTTTTCTTTTCATTGCTTCCCAAACAATACAGTATAACAGCTGTTTACAAAGCATGTACACTGTAGTAGGTAATCTGGAGATATTTAAAGTATGGGGAAGATGAGCATAGACCATATGCAAACGCTATACCATTTTATGTCAGGGACTTGGGCATCTGTGGATTTTGGTATTGCAGGAGGCCCTGGGACCAGTCCTCTACAGATACCAAAGGATGACTGTATTTCTGCTATTAAATAGGAAAATGTAGATTTAAAACACTAGAATGTTATAAGAGGTTACCCCTGGGTAGTGGGATTATAGATCTTTTTTCTCTCTTGTTTTTTGTATTTTATAATTTTTCAACAGTGAACATGTATTTTTTATGTAATATAAAAATAATAGAAATTTCTCAAGAAACATAGTACATACGTGGATAAAAACTCCAGTCTCTGCTGGCGAGTTTGTTGGCTCTGTCCTCTGGGTCCTAGCAGTGCCTGGACCCCAGGACTTCTTCCACTGCCATGTTTATGAGTACGCTATATGCACATCTTCATGTGACGTCTCATCTGGCCTTTGTCACCCTTCACCTGCCTTATTAGAACACGAGCATTTGGCAGTGGTGGGGAACTGGGACCAAGTATCACCACAGGCTTAATCCACAAACTAGTGTCTTTGCTGCAGACCTTACGGTCCTCACATTAGGGGTGACTCTGTTCTGTCTTGTGACCATTCACAATGGAAGCAGCAGGAAAATAGGCTTCATTAATAGGAATTTGCTTTATTGGAATTTATGTTTTCTTGAGGATATCTCTAAAAACCTATCTAAGAGATTTACTTTAGTTTCCTTTTTTTCCCATATTCTCATGTGGGGCATTTAAATAAATGATAGTTTGTACATTTGCTTTCATAATAAAAATTAATAACCTCTTTTTACTTTATTAGGTTTTTTTTAAATGCCACATGCATTGTAACAAGTTAAGCAATAGAGAGAGCTGCAAGTAAAATCTGTGTTCCCTCTCCACCATCTCCCCTGTCCAACCCTGTAATCCAAGTCAGCTGTTTGAAAATTGTTCTTCCTCACATTTTTCTTAGTTTTCCTTTGTTAAAGAAGAGAAAGAAAAGCAGTGGGACATAAGCTATACAGTACTTATTACAAACTGATGTTCTGTATTTTTATTTTCACTTAATGATACTTTGACATTTCCCTGGATTACTTAATGTTATATATGATATTTTTCTATCAGCCATATTATTTTTAACCTGCATTTTTTTAATTGTTAATTTCAGTCTTAAGATCCTTGCACGTTTGATGACTGCTAAATTCTTGCATACAGAAATTCGAGAAAAAGGGGGTGCTTATGGCGGAGGTGCTAAGCTCAGCCATAACGGAATATTCACTCTTTACTCTTACAGGTGGGTTTTCCTCTTTTCTCTATTTCACATGTGTGGCTACACACTCATCATGTCACATGTAGTCACTGCCTCTGTGAATGACCCATGTTGTCATCTTATGTGCTGGAGTGAAGAGGTGGTTGCTGCTGTTGGTTTCTTCTCACTTCCTGGGCATTGGCCCGCACCCAGCACCATCCTTTCTGCCGCAAGGACTGGGGTGCATAGCAGCAAACATTCTGTGTCAGTAGACCCCAGGGTGGCAGCTAGCACAGTTAGGTAGAACACAGTCTGAGAGCTCTCTGAGCTCATCTCCACTGTAGAAGCCTAATATGGATACTGTTCTGTTAGGTTTTCATAGACAAAGACTATTCCCCTTTTGTTTAGAGGAATTGTAAATTTTCTGTGGCACTACTGCCGGAAGGCACGTCTTCTAACACCTTAAGAAAAGAGTAGATTGTCATTGCCACTTTGACGCAGTCCCCTCGCTCCCAGCTGTTGCAGATGCTGGAGCACTTGCTGGGCAAGCGGATCCTGCAGGGAGCGGGACTGCACAACAGCATGCCCCGCCCTCCCTCCATAGCTGTCCTCTTCAGCTGCGTCAGTGTGGACAGAACGCAGGGCTGGAGTGCTTTCTAGCTAGACAGAGGGAGGCATCTCAGAAACTGGCTCACCTGTGGGTAACTTCCAGACTGTTCTGGGCATGTCTTAGGGAAATGGAGATTTTCATTTAAACTTTCTTAACTTTTCCACTAGTATTCCATCATTTTATTATGATCCTGACTTGCCTCCATCCACCTGACTTCCTCCCGATGATGTCACAGAGAGGTGTAGTTAAATAACCTGGTGATGCACTTGCACAGGCAAACCCATGTCTCTCAAGGAGAGGAGAGTATGTCGAAAGTTTTTTTTTTTTTTTCTTTCCTTTTTTGTCTTTTTTACTGACCGGTAACGGGATCGCAACCCTCGGTGTTGCTCCCGCACCGTGCTCAGCCAGTGAGTGGGAACCGGTCTCCACATGGGATCCGAACCCTTGGCAGGAGCGCCGCCACACTCCCAAGCGGTGCACTCTCCAGTGCGCCACCGGGCCGGCCCTTATCGAAAGTTTCTTGTGGTCAGGTTTAAATTTCTACAGACCGTAATTAATTTTGTCAGGAGCTATTTGGACTGTGAAGTGTTAAAATAGAACTGCTAACAAGTAGAATTTTTTGAAGATCTGTTCAGTCAACACGATTGCCATTTGTTTTTCCATTGGTTAAATGCTTAAATATTTAACTCTCTGGCTTTTCTAGGGACCCAAATTCAATAGAAACGCTCCAGTCTTTTGGGAAGGCTGTCGACTGGGCTAAAGCTGGAAAATTCACACAGCAGGACATTGATGAAGCAAAATTGTCTGTTTTCTCAACTGTAGATGCTCCTGTTGCTCCTTCAGACAAAGGTATTTTGAGTGAATAATGAGAGCCTTGACATGTGCACAGACAGAATTTCACCCACGCAGCTCTCTGAGTCTTTTGCTTCTTTGTACGTGTGGACCCCGCAGCAGTCCCATCGTTTGTTTTTCCTGTCCCCTCGTCTGTCCTCTGTGATACAGTTTTCACGTTTGACCACCTAAACGTTGATCTTGAAGATGAGCTTGTTGATATCCAGGCTAGAACATTTTGATGTTTGCCATTTCAGAAGAATCGCGTCTTACGCAGAGTGTGAGTGAGCTTAGGCGCAGTGAGGCCCATGGCTGACCCAGCCACTCGACTTGCTAGTGAGGGTTGAGGACATGCTGACATGCAGGCAAGGCCACATCCCTGTGGAAACCCCTTGCTCACAATGTTACCATCCTTATATGACCCTTGCTGACTCCATCCGCTTTCCAGAAGCGCGAGTTGGTGGGAGTCAGCGTGGCTCCATGGGAGCTGCAAGTCAAGGCTGGATCTATGAGCTGGGCACACACTTCCCTGTGGTTGGAACATGTGCAGAAAGTGACGGTGTGATGACATCAGCCTCCACCAAGATGTGAGCCCCAGCCTGCTGTGCCAGCTGTCCCACGGCAGCTCCCCCATCTGGGTCTGTGCTTTAACTTGCAGGGATGGACGTCTTCCTGTACGGCCTCTCTGATGATGCGAAGCAGAGGCACCGGGAGCAGCTCTTTGCCGTCAGCCACAACCAGCTCATGGCCGTGAGCCACAGGTGAGTGTGCGGCATGGCTCTGCATGTGCGTGAGGAGTGAGTGTGTGCTCCACATATGTGCGGGCAGTGGTAAGTGCAGGCACGGCTTCATGCTGGCGGTAGGTGAGGGCGGGCACTGGGGCATGTGTGTGAGGGCAGGTGTGGGTGGTAGATGAGGGTGGGCGTGGCTGCACATGTGCAGGGGAAAAGGAGACTTAGAAGTGTGAAGACTTAGTGTTGACCTTAAGAAATACCAATGTCAAAAACGGCCCTGATTTGCCCCTATTGTCTCGTCAGGTACCTGGGCACTGGGAAGAGCACACGTGCAGTGGCTATACTGGGACCAGAGAACGCAAAGATTGCTAAGGACCCGTCATGGATAATAAGATGACCAGTCACCATATTCCTCATGGACTCAGACCTCAGTGGACCTACATATATACAGGCTCTTAAAAATTATGCCTCTGAGTAGCATTTGAAAGGTCAGAAATGTTCCTGCTTTTTCCATAATACATCAGTCATTCTTAGTTTTTTGCCAAAGGTATTGACAGGCACGTCAGACAAAAACCCTTCTACCTTGTGACCAAGAAGAAATTAATTGAAATAATCATGTATTAAATGCCAAAGATGCATCAATTAGAATTTTAAGACTTTCTAATGATACAAATGTTTATTTTATCTTATTAATCCTAGAACATTTATTTCCACAATTTAAAAATAAGAGGCAACTCTGACCTTCCCGTGCTTCAGCCATTATTTTAAATGACATTTTGCTACAGTAGAACATGTTACGGCCTTTGAGAAAATGAACTAGTAAAAGGAGTAAGTGAATGAGGGAGTTCCAGCATCTCCCTGGATTTATGAAGTGTGCGGTCACACCAGGGACTGCAGAAAAGTCTTCCCAGCCAATGTGAGAAACAGGCATCCCGGGGGTCCATCCTGAGGACTGGACATGTGTGATGGATACGTGTTCACTTGAGCTTTTCTCACTTTGTGTTTACTGAAATAAACAGGAAATGTCTGAGTCCCAGCTCTTTATCATCTTATTCTCATTATCCATACTTATTTTAATAATCCACCATTGCTTTATACAACTCTCTTCCCTCCATTTCTGGTATATAGATGTGCTGTGGGTCAAATGTGTCCCCCAGGGGCTGGCTAGTTAGCTCAGTAGATCAGAGCATGGTGCTGATAACACCAAGGTCCAGGTTTTGATCCCTGTACCAACCAGCCACCAAAAGAAAAAGTGTCCCCCAAAGGTTCATGTATTGGGAACTTGATCCCCATTGTAAGTATTAAGAGGGTGGGAAATCCAATGATGGCATTTGAAAAGTGGGCCTTTAAGAGGTAATTAGATTGTGAGGACTGTGCCCTGGTGAGTGGATTGATCCATTGATAGTTTGATGGTTGGCCATCGGCATGGTTCTGATGGCTTTAAAAGGAAAGTGAGCAGATTAGCTCTGTCTTGCTCAGCCACTTCACCATGTGACACCCTGCGTCTCTGGAGAGCCATCGCCAAGAACAAAGCCCTTACCAGATTTGTTTCCTCAACTTTGGACTTCCCAGCCTCTGAAACTATAAGCAGTAAGTATTCTTTCTTTACAAATTACCCAGTTTCAGGTATTCTGTTATAAGCAACAGAAGTGCACTAGCACGAGATGTCTGGAGGCTTCCTTCCTGAGGCTGGATCTGAGAGAGCATGAACTACAGAAAGGAGGCAGTACGAGACCCATCAGGGCAATGGTCACCATCCTGCGTGTGTGAACACCAAGGGAGCTCTAACCCGGGTCCCCCAGGACTGAGAGTGGCTCGGTCTGGAGGAGAACCTGGGCATGAAGTTCTTTAAGAGGCCCCCCAGGTGGTGTCAGGGTGCAGCTAGGATTGAAATCAAGAGTGTGCAAGAGTCGCTTGCTTTAAAGGCAGTTCATACTTTCTATTGCTGAAGTCTGCACCTTGACTCACTGTAAAAGGATGTGAGGCTGGAGATGAGTGACCTCACCCACCTGCACAGTTTTCACTGTCCAAGCCAGGGCCCGACACCCAGGTGTCCGGCCAGAGCTGTTGTCCACATTCACTCTCAGCATGGACCAAAGGGGAGCTCCGTGCTTACCTAAAGGTGTGTGTTGCTCTTTGTCAGAGCACAATCTTCTCTCTGCTTTTGTGACTTCACACTTGCATAGTTCAGAGGCCCCTGTAACAGCATTTTGCTGACCTTTGCCCACAGAACTGCTGAGAAACCCTTCAGAAGCCATCCACACATCTTGAGGATTTAAACTCCTTAAAAATATAAAACACTGAGCACTGTTGGGAGTTTCAGCCAAATGTTTAATTCTAGTAGACACACACATTTTAAAGCATAGATCGAGGAACAGTAGACAATCTCTTAGGACCTGACTGGGATCAGAACAATGTTGGTGACCAGTGCTTTATTAGGTCTGAATGTCAATGCTTGCGTAAAGTGCTGATAAATAACTTAAGTGTTACAAAACAGGACGGTCCGCGGTAGGTTTCAGGCCTCACTGGATGAATGTGTGGGGGTGGGCGAGCAGCGCATGCAGTTCAGATGGCGGCAGGCTCCCCGTGGGAGCTGCGGGGGTGATGCAGGTGCTCCAGCTGGCCAGAGTCGGACACGTCGTAGCTTGTCTTGTATTTGGCCAGGATTTTCATGAGAGGCCGCAGTTTGAGCCACCACTGTTCTTTGGGAATTCTGTGCCTGTGAAGGAAGAGGGGCAGGGGTATGGACTTCACCTGCTGCTGGACGACAGCCTCGGACTGCTCCACACTGTCACAGCTGCAGGACAGAGGTGCCAGAATGGGGCGTGTGCAGTTGGCCCAGTAAATTCTGGGTGAGAATAGGCAATTTTCATAGGTCAAATGAAACCATGACTTTTATACTCCTAAAAATTCTGCTATTTCTAGAAATCCAGTATTTTTAACTTAACTTCAGAAAAGCCACTGTGTTCCTTAAAACACTTGAATGAATTACTTATGGTGACCACAACAGTGGCACCCCTCTGCCCCAAGACTCCTACGTCCGTCCCTCCTCACTGCAGTAGGATTCAGATGCACAGCATTGCACTTACTCAAAATCTGTCTCCTTCTTCAGCTCTGTCACAGGTTGAAAAAGGAGGTTTCTTTTGCTTATCCCCAGCACACAAATGGAATCATCAGTAACAAATTTTCTTCCTGTAAAAGTTTAAAAAATGACCTAAGAACTAATGCCTCATAATATTCAATGGGCAGATCCAATGGCACATGAAGGAAGGAACAGGGAAGAAGAAAAACCAGCTAACTCCAGGGAGCATAAGAGAGTGGGAGTTGAGCCGGGGACTCCCTCCAGTTTTGACAGGCACTTTGGAGGTGCTATGGGGGCGTGGACCCCACCTGGGAATCAGTGTCCTCTAATCATGGGCCGCCACTCACAACAGACCCACGTCCTCCCCCTCCAGCTCTGCTCCCTCTCGGGGTCCTCTCTTCTTGGGATTGAGGAGTCAGGGAGGAGAGAGGACCCAGTTGTGATGTGGCCCCCCTGATTTCACACACCCCTTGAGAGTAACACAACCACCACAGGAAGAAGGATTCTTGGAAAGGAGCTTTTTTTTTTTTTAATAGTGGTGGTGAGTCTTTCACTAAATACTAGATACTAGAATAGGTAAATCAGCTTAAATGGCAGAAAGACTTCAGTTAAATATCAATAAGAAGAAATGTGCCTATGAATGCACATACTGTGAGAGGCTGAAAGTTGAGATGGGAAAAGAAGAAAAGAAATCCAAGAGTAAAAAGAAAAATATAAAAGGAGAAATTAATGTGTAAAACAAACTATTAGTGGAAAGAAATCCAAAGTCAGTTCTTTGAAAAGACTAAAATTAGGTTCAGACTGTTTACATCACCATTATTCTAAGTCAGACATTGGAACTTGCTATGGTTTGCCCTAATAAAAACACATCTGGGATGAATGATCCAGAAAACTGGGGGTTGAGAGAAAGGTCTTGCACACACATCAATATCAGGAATGAGTGGGGTCTGGAAATGCGTTAAAAACAGATTAATGGAAAAAAATGACATGATGATCTCATTTCAGGCAAAAAGTTTATAAAATGCCATATCCTTTCATGGTTGAGAAAATACTTAGGCTAACAGTCAATATTAAAATGTAGAAAGAAAGATTTCAGTTAAACATTAATAAGAATTTTTAGTCATGAAACATTCCCATCACGGTCGAGACCAGAACAGGAGTCCTGCTGTTACTGCACCTGCTCAGGGTTTGCTGGAGGAAGTACCTGGTGCAGTAACTCCCAGACACCAACCACGACGATCAAGGAAAAAAGCAAAAGGCCCCATACTTGAATGTGTATGTAAAATAAATTAATAAATAAATAAATACTAGAATTCAGAGTGCAGAAAAATTGCTAATCACAAAATCAGTTTATAAAAATCAATTGTATTTTTTAATGTATTTTTATACACCAGCAATAAAAAAAAATTAAGCACCCTTTACAATAATATAGTTTTTTAAAAGTCAAGAACCTTGGAATAAACCTACCGAAAAATATGCAAGATCTTTATGGAAAAAAGTAATGCTTTCATAAAAGATTAAAAATTTAAAATACATGGAAAGAGATATAGTGTTCAGGAATTAGAAAGTTCAATATTGTTGAAAATGTCAGTTCTTCCCCTGAATGACTTACTAACTAAATGCAGTTCCCCACTAACAAGCCCAGCAGAATTTCTGGTGGCCTTTCACAACCTATTTCTATGGTATCACAGCCAGACACTGGAAGAAGGCCCAGGTAGGACAACGAGCCCTACGAGATATCAGCAATTACATGTAAGACAGGAGCTTTGGCAAGGACTGATAATTGACCACCGGTGAACCAAAAGCCTGGTAATAGTCCCTTAATTTTATAGAGACTTTATCCGTGATCAAAATTGTACTGCCGAATAGAAAAAAGAACAAATTTCTTTAATAAGTGGCACCCAAATAATTGTTTATCCACAGTAAAATAAATGAAATTAGACTTTAAATTTCATATCAAGTGGATTAAAGAACTAAGCATAAAAGAATATTTTAGTAACACAAAAAACTCAAACCATAAAGGAAAAGGTTGGTGAATTAACTACATTAAAATTAAGGAGATTTCATTGAAACACAACTTATGACAAGGGATGACAAAAGATGGGAGAAAAATATTTACAACATGATTGACCAGATCTTAGAGTAAAATACAAATGCAAAATATGAAAAATATTTAAAAGTTCTATAAAACAATATAAACATAACCAACCAATAGCAAAATAATTGGACAGATCACAGAGAAATAAGAACATTAAGGAAACGTAAGAACCTGGCATTTCGCTCATTACCCATGAAGTTTAGCCTCCTAAAGCCACAATGAGAATCTCACACCCACCAAATAGGAAGCAGTAAACAAGTCTGGGGGTATCAAGGAAAATGCACACCCTGCAAGCGAGCATGTGGTTGTGGTTGGTCAGACCAGCCTGTACACATGCCTGGGGCAGACCTGGGGACCTGGCTCTGCAGCTCTAGGTGTGCCAGCGGGAGGGTAAGGTGGCCTTCCGGGCAGTGGGTGTCAGATAACAGATGCATATTGACAGTGTGCCCAGCCTAATGCCACAGAGAAACACACGGAGGTCTCCATCCACCCACTAACCACAAAGACCAGACAAACCAGGTGACAGCCTTCGAAAACTTCAAGGTAGCAAACTACAGGAAAGCACGGGAGTGGCTAGCAGGGAGGGAGTAAACTGTGACTAAAGGATACATTTAGGTTCTGGAGGAGGAAACAGTCCAGATGCCTCCCTTTCTCGGTATTTTTTTCTCAAAGAGAAGTTGTGTATGAATCGATGGATGTCTTAAGTACCTTAAGTAAAAGCTGTTCCAAGGAGCCAAATAAATAAAACTAATGAAAGTCACATTTTATGATCTTAGTAATACAGTCCTTAGTGAGCACAGCAATGTTATGGCTAATAATGAGAGTGCTACTAAATTATTTGAATGCCTCCCATCACTGATAAGCAGGAATAAAGCATTTTATCAATTATCTTTAATTATACCTTGAAAGTCACAAATAGCAACACTGAGACACTAGCAAGAGTGAAACGATGTTATCAGGTCTCATATCTATGTTATCATGAATTCAGCTCAATGCTGAATATAAGAAAAGAAGGTGCAGCAGTACATTCACTGGGTGGGCAACTTGCACCCTGTGTCCTATGCTGTAGCCACCCCCCCACGGCCTTGTACCTTTCCCCTGGGACTCCTTCAGCTTTGTGGTGATCCACTGCATAGCTCTGGCTGAGATTTTGGTCCCGAAGTTTCTATCAAAAGGAGAGGGTGCTCCGCCCTGTTGGTTAAAGTTACATGAAACATTAGTTACACAGCAATACTTTGATTTTTTGAAATCAAAATAGAGATAAAAATTTCTATTATTTAACAAAATTCACATAATGTTTTTAAGAGACTCAAATTTGCAACAGTGGTTTTGTTTTTGCATAGTTCTATGTCCTTGTATATAGTTGGAACAGTGCAAAAAGCAATCTGTCGTTCCTGTCGCTTGAACGAGCCCGTCAAGCCTGCCCATGGAGCTCCTTCCCCTGCTAGGACAAGGGTTTTAAGTCGTCACGTGAATGACAGCTTAGTTTTGTGTTTGGCGGGACCATTGGCACACCTGCTGCATGTGGCCCAGCACGTTCTTCCTGCAGTCGAACACCCCTTTACCCTCCTCCGAATAGAGCTGGTAAATGAAGTCGGTGGTGTAATTTTCACTGCAGCTCTCGTTTCTGAAACAAACAGGAAGTAGTCGAGTTCATCCACCCAGCAGCAGGTCTGGAGCTTGCTGACAATGTGCTCTGCCCGTAGTGGCTGCTGTCCCTTATATGACTCTGCATACAGTGGTCCCCCCTTATCCGCAGTTTCACATTCTGCGGTTTCAGTTACTTGTGGTCAATCACAGTCCAAAAATATTATCTGGAAAATTCCAGAAATAAACGATAAGTTTTAGATTGCGTCCTGAGTGGTGTGATGAAACCTTGCGCCGTCCTGCATCTTCCCGCCCAGGACGTGAATCACCCCTTTGTCCAGCAGATCACGTTGTAGATGCCACCCGCCCACTGGTCACAAGTAGCCGCCCCAGTTATTACCCCGAGAACACAGCAGATATGGGCTCAAGGCTGTCCTCGGTTCCAGCATCCACTAGGGGGCTTGGGATGTATCCCCTGGGATAAGGGGCACTATTGTATTTTCTTCTTTCCTCATAAAGGGCAGCTTAAGAAAATGATTTAGAGATAATCTTCCAAAATAAGAGACTTCAAAAATAAAATTTTTAAACCACACTTTAACTACTTAAATGCAAGCAAATTTTTAACAAAACACACAATTTACTCCTGTATTTCTAAAGTATTCACAGAATCAGTGGCAAAGAAATGATTGCTCATTAGGTTTTTAGATCGTAAAATAGATTCTAAAAACCTGTATTTAGAATGAAAATAAGATGAGAAATATTTTCCCATTACCTGAGCACAAGACCCCTCTGAATGGTGGTCTTCATTTTCTCCGTCAGGTGTTCTACATTGGACTAGAAAAGTGTTTTGTGAATTAATCAGACAGTAAGCATCTATTAAGCACCTACTGTATGCCAGGTACTGCATGATTCTAAGGGCTGGAATGAACGCAGCAGTGAATAAGAACGAGAAAGGGTCACTCTTGCAGCTGGTGTTTTTGTGAGAGACTCCCATAAGCAAATAACACGTCAGATATACCACAAACAAACAAGTGTACCAGGTCGTGAGAAGTGCAGTGGTGGCAATAAAGCAAGATAATGCAGTGCGCGTGAGGGTACTTCAAAAAGTTCATGGAAAAATAGAATTAAAAGATAATATTAATCTTTGCATGAACTTTGTGAAGACTCCTGGTTTGATGGGCGTGGGGGCCCCATCACTGGGCATATTTATTGAGTCAATGGAATGCACAAGTTCCGGAAATGCTTTCCAAAATAAGTAGGTTTCCCTTCAAAACATCCATGTTATTCTGGGTGTTTGTTTGCCTTGCGCTTATGCATTTATCTGTTGCTCCTTATCTATTTTCATAACAGTGTTTTCTATCTCAGGGCACTCAGGAGAAAATATGTTGCCTGACTTACACAGAAGATCATTTAACTGCCTCATGAACATTTTCTGAACAACAACAAAAAATTTTATGGATTCATATTTATACACAAATTTTGTAAGGAAAAGAGAACTATATCTTGAAAGAGGAAATGTGCAAAAACATCCTATTCAATTCATGGGAGGAGGGTGCAAAAGGAAGGTGATTTTCTAGTGACTCACCCTAAAAAGTGAAGTTTTTACATATAACCAAGTCTCAGTCATGATGACATTTCTTAAGCATGTACCATGCGCCAAGAGCCATCATAAAGTGCTGGTGAGACATGATCTTTTGGTAGATTTTTGAAGCATAAATATTTAATTCAGTATTGTGAAGAAATTCACAGCTGAAGTGTCCATGTCATGACAGTGTTAACACCAACCATCTCTCCACTTGACATAGCTCAGAAACAGATGCTATCATCACTTTAAAGAGCATTGCTCAAGTTGTCTCATCCGCCAATGCCTGTGACCGCCTGCTGAGTGTGCTGAGGGTCCCACCAGGCCCTGGACTCCGCTCCAACCTCCTTGCATCCAGCAGCCTGTGGGGACTCTGGCCATGCCTAGGCCCATTCGGGAGCAGAGACCTTGAGCCTTGAGAGGAGCTGCAGCCACAGCCAGGGTGAGTCCTCATGTAAACTCTGGGGTGGTGTCAGCGGAGGTGCTGCCCCACCCTGCTAGGGGTGTTGGTGGTGGGGGGCTGTGAATACTTTGAGGGCGGTGTATGAGAACTCTGTGCCTTCCTCTCAATTTTGCTGCAAACCTAAAACTGCTCTAAAAAATTGTTATTTTAAAAATATTTTTTAAAAGCAGCAGCATGCAGCAGGGAAGTGCAGCACGATGGGCTCCTGTTTTGTTTCTAACTGTCGACAGGTGCCTCTGCCACGCTGACAGCACAGATGTAGTGGGAAGCCCACATCAAGTCCCCGGCCGTCTCAGTGCCCTGGTTCAGTGTAGCTTCTCTTGGGAGGCTGCAGGGCCCCCTCCAGGAAGGAAGCTTCCTTCCAGCGACTCTGTCTCCCCAACCTCAGACCACAAGGACACCCAAAGTTTGGGGCTGTTCAAAATATTTCAAAAGGCCTAAGAGAAACTAATGAAGTATCAGATCCCATTAAGTGAGTTAATATCGTCCTTAAACGACAGACCTCAGAAAAACATTAGCTACTTAATGGGTGAAATCATTTACTTATAGACAAAAAATACATAAGGATGAGTCTTCACACACAGAATGAGAGGCTGCCTCACCCAGGCCTATTCTTGTCACCCTAATACTGAGAGAGGTGCACCTGCATGCAGGGAGCAGGTGATCTGAAGTGTAGAAGATGTGGAGGTCTCACAATGCCACCCGCCCCTCGCGAAGCAAGCCCACAATCACAGATTACTCATTTGAGCACTGGGTAGATCCAGGGAGCAGCCTCGCAGAGGCCCACCCCTCACTTACCTGCAGGTCCCTGATATCAAATGGCTCTTCAAAAATGTAGGCAGCGTCTGCGCCAGCTGCGAGCCCTCCCATGTTGGCCAGGTAGCCACAGTAGCCCCCCATGGTCTCGATGATGAACACGCGGCGCTTGGTCCCGCTGGCCGACTGCTTGATGCGGTCACACGTCTGGTCACAGAAGAAGACACCATCATTACAGCCCAGGACCTTGGCCAGCACTGGGCCCAAGGCCTGCCTGCCCCACCCCACGCTGTAGCAAGCACCTCCCCAGCCAAGCATGCGGCCACCACTGCAGACACAGTGTGCATAGCTGCCAGACACACATCAGCCTTCGAAGGGCCCTTGCCCGCGATGGCCTGGCTGCCACCTCATCCTGGGTGCCTTAGGAGGTGATGGGGAGGATAGTACCTCCAACCAGCTCCTCTACTTTGCCTTCTGGACGTGTCCTTGCTAAAGCAGCTGTCGCAGATGTCAACACCGTTAGCTAGGGTGAATCTGGATTTTATGGGAATGTCAGCTGCCTGCCCGGTCGATGGGAATCTCTGTGCTATTTTATCTTTTCTTTTGAAAGTGCCCTGTGATTTTAGAATTTGTATCACCTTCAGTCCATCTGTGGTTTACATCATGTTTAGGGCACCTCTACTCAAGGACACACGGTGGTTTCTTAGAGCGAGCAGAGAAACATTCTGGATGCACAGGCAGCAGATCTATAATCAAACGTCTCGTCACCTGCCCTCCATGATGACTCATGCTCAGGGGAGAAAATAACAAAAGCCATCCTCCGCTTTCCCACTGCAGCACGTGCCCAAGTCCCCGCCAGAGCTTCTAACCGGCTTGTGGCAGCCCCTCTTGGACCCTCCAATCCATTCACACAAACTAAGCTCCATCTACAAAAAACACAAATCTGCCCGAGTTCTTGCCTTGCTAAAAATCCTTCACTACTTCTGTGACCACACGTCAAAGCCTTTCTATTTAACCCCTGGCCCTGAAACTCCCGCACCAGGTTGCAGCCTGGCTCCAGCTGTCGTCCAGGCCCTGGGACGGGCCACACTCCAGTCCTCCCGGGCCTTTGCTCGTGCTGGGCTCTGCACTTCGGATGTTCTGCAGGCACAGTGGTGACTGCACAGCAGCCCCCAAAGTATCCCGGTCCCGCTGCCTGGGACTTGTGAACATTACCTTACATGGTGATGAAGTTACTAACCGAGACAGGGAGAATATCCAGGATTACCCAGGTGGGCAGGCCCTGGGAGGCTGGATGTAGAGGCACAAGGCCTGGCACCAAAGCACCCAGAACGCACGCTGGGGCCTGGAAGGAGCTGGGGCAGGCTCTTCCCTGGACCCCACACCCTGTTTCAGCCGTGGCTCCAGCCTCCAGGGCGATGGAACAGCAGGTGAGTGTCACTTTGAGGCACCACGTTGGTACTCATTTGCTACAGCAGCCACAGGAAATTGAAACGGGCGCCTTCCTGCCGCCTCAGCTCTGAGCCAGAGTCGGATGCTGCTTCTCAGGAAAAGGCTGCCCAAGCCCCAGGACAGACCGCTCCCTCTGTGAGGGGCTTCTCTACCCAGCAGGTCCTTCCTCTAGAGGAATCAACCTGGTAGGCCCTCCTGCAATTACTCATGTGCTTACTCCATTGCTGTGTCTTCCTCACTAGACTGCAAACTCCACAGGGCAGGGATCAGGGCTGGGCTTGTGCCATGCAGTGTCAGCAGCTCCTGGTGGTACCTCCTGCATGGCGAGCGCTCCGTAAGTGCTGGTCACTGAAGGAAGCAAATGCGGGCACCTCCGGGCCAGCCATCGTCCTGCTCCTAAACCAGCCTCACAGTGTGTGGTGGAGAGTGAAGGCAGGAAAGAGGTGGGCTGTGGGCCTGAGACCCCAGGCGTCAAGCTCCTCGGGGAAGAGAAGGGAGGGTCTGTGCACCAAAGTGTGATGATACCAATTTGGAGATTTTGACTCAAGAAACTAGGTTATTTTAAATGAGCACTGATTAACACATGCAGGTGCAGTTAAAATCATTCTAATCAGTAATTCCAATTTCTTTGATAGAGTCTTACCCTCCTCAAATAATTAGATTAATCCGTTCAAAGTTCAGCATGTGCTCTGGTGAGTGGGCAGCCTTGCATTCTCTAGAAGCAGAGACAGGAAGGACAGACAGGCATCGACGGGCTAACTCACGTCTCCTCTGTGCTTATGCAGGGACAGGGTGACCGCTGGTCATGTGTACAAAGAGCCCATGGCCGCCGCGGGGTTGGGAGACAGGACTCTGGATTTTCCCTGCTGTGTCTGTCCTGGGTCTTTTCATGTAGCATCCAAGTGCTCGCAATCTGACAGCCTGGTCTGTCTTAGAGAGGGGCTCAGGGGGAGGACGGGACTGCAGGGCGGGTGCCCCGGGCTAGAGCGCAGGATTCCAGGTCCCCCCAGAGGTGCAAAACCAACTGGGTCTCCTCCACAGGCCCACCCTAAGGTGGAGAATTACAGTCACTAATTCAAAGGACAATGCTCTAATCACTTTATGGCAAAAGAACTCTGCTGGCAAAGCTCCGCTGTGAGGCGATCCGCACATGTAGTCTGAGTTCTGAACGCGGCGCTGTGGGTGGAAGATAAAAGGAAGGACGCCGGCTGAGCCTGACCACCAAGCACAGGCCCTGGCCTCTGAATGCCCCTGGATGTGAAGATGGTGACAGCTGGGTTGGAAGTCCGCCCAGCTTGGAGCCTAAACACTCTATTACCTAGATGGTATCTGAAGGCTTCACTTAGTTAAAAATAGTAAGCCATTCCCGCTGTGCCCCTGCAGTCACCGAAGTAGTTCTGTCAAGAGTCACGGGTGGGAGAAGGACTTGCAGAGGGTCACACCCCTGCCCGGCATGTGGACAGCAGCCATGAGCCAGACAGCGGGCAGAGCCAGCGCCCACAGTGTCTCACCACAGACGCGCCTGGCAAATGCAATGCCCCCCTGCACCCAACACAGGCTCCCCCAGCAAGAGCCCTGGGAAGGGTCCCACTGCAGGGAAAGCTCCAGGCTGCAGCTCAGACACCACCAACACTGTGCAACACTCCTTCTTTAAAATATAAATCAACTGTGAGAAGATAGGGCAGAGTTTGACTGCAGTGTTAAGACAGAAAAGAGAAGTGGGAGGTCAGTTTTCCTATGACTGTGGCCTTGCTTCCAGGTAGCTGACATCCTCAGAACTCAGGCAGCGACCACATGGGGCCAGGGTGGGCAGTGGGTGGGTGGGGGTCCCATTCCTGCCCAAGCAGGGACCAGCAACAAGTGCAGCCCAGTAGCTCGTGTGCGAAGCCACGTGGAGTAGAGAGGGTTAAAGTAAGTGTGAGCATCTAGATGTTAGAGTTAAGCCAGGAAGGTGCCACCCAGTGACAATGCGGCTAGTAACCCTCTGCATTTCATATGCAAAGAAACGACTGCGGGGAGTTTCAGTGCAGGGCCCTGCATAGGTGTGACATGGGAATGAGCTTGACCAGCTCTGCAAGGCCGTCCCCCTGTCTTCGGAAAGCACTACAGACACAAGCCCGCAAGGGAGACACTGAGCCATATCTGTCATGAGNTTTTTTTTTTTTTTTTTTTTTTTGTCCTTTTTTTTGAGACCAGCTGCACCGCGCTCAGCCAGTGAGTGCTGTGAGCGAACCGTAGACCAGCTATTTTCAAAAAGACTGAAAATAACAACTGCTGGTGAGGATGTGGAGAAAGAGGACCCTCCCACACTGCTGGTGGGGCTGTAAATTAGTGCAGCCATTATGGCAAACAGTATGGAGGTTTCTCAAACAACTACAGATAGAACTGTGATATGATCCAGGAATCCCACTGTTGGGTATATACCCAAAGGAATGGAAATCATCATGTCAAAGAGATAGCTGCACCCCCATGTTTACTGACAGCTCTATGTACAGTAGCCAAAAGTTGGAGTCAATCTAAGTGTCCATTGAGAGATGACTGGATAAGGAAAATGTGGTATATATACTCAATGCAATACTACTATGCCACAAAAAAAATGAAATTCTGCCACTTGCAGCAATATGGATGAACTTAGAGAAAATTATGTTAAGGGAAATAAGCCAGGGGAAAAAAGGAGAAAAAGAAAGAGAGAGAGATAAAGGAGGAAAGGAGAAAAAAGAAAAAAGAAAAGAAAAAGAATCAGGATAATACATTGAACTTTCAAAAAAAAGAATAGAACTGTGGTTTTTAGAGGTGAGAAAGGCAGAGGAGGAGGGGACTAGCAAGAAATCATTTGAGGATCACAAAGATTGATTATACTTTGTAAACATGAGTATACTAATTATGCTGATTGATCACCAACTATTGTACACATGTATTGATATTCAATTCTGTACCCCACAAATATATATAATCAATTATGTTTCAACTTTAAAAACTGTCAAAAAAGAAAGAAAAAGAAAGAATACCATGTCTGCAGTGAGCACAAT